GTTTTATTTTCCAATAAAATTTATCAAGCATGGGTAATATAATACATATAATATGTACATAATAATATAATACACTTGCCGCCTTTAAGTACCTATAACATTTTAGTGAGCACAATAGTTTATCAAACCAGTTCCGAGTTAAAAAATATAATATACACGCTACTACCTATATATTATTATTATATTACACGTATAATGTACATAATATAAACGTACTAGTTCAGATAATATAATAAACAATTTTATGGACAAAACCATAGCCAACCATCAAACTATCCTAAAAAATCATCGCTATGATTAACAAGATGCATATACTGCAGCTATGTAGGCCACCCATAACCATAACCATAGTTATTTTCAAATGAGACGGTTGAGAAAAATTTAACGACCAAAAAGTAGTATTGTTCTTAAAATAATTATTGGTACCTACCACATACGTCTTATTTGTCAACCTACTAAATTATGTATGATAAAAATATACAAGTAATATATGAGTTTTTATTTAAGTAAAGGTTGTATATAATTTGAACCCCATTCACACCACAGTCACAAGTTTTAGTGAGTAGACCAACTTTGTAATAATACTAATAATGCGTGTTATCTAATTTGTACAAATTTTTCGTTGGTAAATAAATAATAATAATATACAATAGTAATATCATTATCACATAATTGTTAATTTATTTCAATAATATTGCACTGAACAACCCATTTACATGCAGTTATCTGCTGATACTAAAAATGTTTGATGTTTCTAAAAAAAAAATAATAATGGTTTTTTCTATACATTTTTTTAGTATGCGCATATTAAGGAAATAATTAATTAATTTTAAGTATTTTATTGTGTATTCAGGTATTCACATCATGAGCTAGTCCTTTTCAATGCAAAAAGCATTTAATTATTACTTTGTTGAAGCAATTTAAACTTATTACGAGAGTACCTACCCATATAATGGCTATATATTACACCGCGGTAGACAATAATATATTTTCACGCGAAATACATATACGTCTCGATTCCGATTAACGTTTACTGCAAAGCGGGTGGCAATTCGTATCCCATTTTCAATCCTTTCGACCCTCCCGCGAGGTCTTAATGACCGAAAAACTCGACGTAATATTTCTATCGCATACGGCATATAGGTACATATTATATATTATATATATTTATATAATAGCTACCAACGGTCGGGAGGTCTTTATAATATGCAATTTGTCAAGGGGTTTAAGAAATATTGATACTGGACGGAAAAAAATACAGCAATAAATAATAACATCTCACTCTTAAATTGTTTTTCCAACCCCTTGCAAAAACGATTCATAATCGATTTTAGACCGTGCACAACAATTAATATATTATTATTTTATTTTTTTTAACCAGTAAGACCGGTATGAACCGAGAAGCGCGCTCTCTGCAATCGAAATACGGATTTAAATAAAATAATGATAAAAATCCAGGAAAAAATCATGATGCAGGGGCGCCAAAATATGACTCTTTTATTATTATATTATTACCCGCGACACCTGACACACAATAATAATATTATAACGATCCAGACACCATAGACGTTAGCTATTGTGTTATTGTTATTTTTCGTGTTTTTCTGGAGGACCTACCTCGATTTGTGTGGCTGCTACGGCTACCTGTTGCGGCCCGTTTCTCATTGTTGTAGTCCGATAATGCGACGACGTCGTTTTTTCAGGTCTGATCTGTGGGAACACGTTGACCCTTGTACAAGGGAAACGCTAAGACGTAGACGGGTATATCCGTGTAGACGGCTTTTGTGTTATTTGCTCCTCTTGTTTCTGTGATCAGAGGTTTGACCTTTATATAATAATACTGTAGGTAACTATGTATACAAATACTCCGGACCTACACTTCTCCACCAAAATTTTAATTTAGATTTTCAGAATTTGGTGACCCGCATGAATATAAACAATTATGAAAATTTAAAATGTATTTTTAATATAAATTTTCATTAAAATAACTTCAAAGAGTGAGCACCATTTTTGTTTTATAGATATTTAAAGTTCAAATTCGGACGAGATCAGATAATGTAAAGTAGAATAACGACTTTAGTTATTTTATTATAATTCAAAAATTATACTCACGGGAACTTGAAACTTTTACATAATATACGATCATATTTTATGCACACAATTAAATTTTCAAATGCACTGTTTCAGCAAACAGGAATTCAAACTACAGTATTTACTAATAATAAAATTAATTATTTGAATATAATAATTAATAATATAAATCTGACTATACTTATCTAACAGTCTGTACAGACCATCTTCTCTCAGAACCGTTTTTCATCTGCAATGATTAAATTAATTGAATCCATGATTAAATTCAAATGTACCTAACACATATTATACATTACACAGTGACTGAGTGACTTAGGTACTCAATGACAACGTTCACTCATACTGTACAGCAGACCAATTATACTTACTTTCACCCTTTTTTGTAATTAATACTGTTATCATGTGAAACTTTTTTTAAATAGGAAGGTAATCTCTTTATTTAAGCATTGTTCAGAGGTTTGATGATAATAAAATGTTCTGTGAGATGATAAAATGTGTTTATTTGCCTTTGTAAAATGTATAAAAAATAGTGTGGGCAAAAATAAAATAGCACCTGCAGATCGTGAAAATTTCTGAATACGACCATGGATGGACCTTACCTATCATTTTCGTTCACAGAAATAATTAAATCGGCGTGAATGCGTGAATACGTACCTTTTAGATACCTTTAAGTTTGAGTGTTATGATATTCTTTCTCCGATCGATCTTGTTTATTTCAATTTTTAGTTCGTTTCTAAATCGGTTAATTTGGCGTTGATCACGTGCTAACTGATTAATTAATCGGCACAGGCTCATCGGCATTTGTTTAAATCGCCAACGAGAACATTATTAATTTTTTTTACACCCATCTTTTGTATGTGCCAACAGATAATCAACACTAGTCTTCGAGAAAACCGTGTTTGTCGGCGAGCTCGGACCACCCGACCTTGCGGTTGTAACGCTGACCAACACCTCGGTTGCCGAGCGGTCACATCATTAGCGGTTTCGCACAAAAGAATTCGGAAGCGCCAGGTCCCCGTGGAGGCTGCACGGCACAAAAAGACCGCCGAAAATCAATCTTCCACCGTCACCCGACAATGACTTCACGGCGCAAATCATCCCTCGATCAAATATTGAAACAACCACTGGTACATTTCATATTATATAAAATATATATTACATGTACCTATAAGTAGGTAATACACCTACCTATATGGATTGATGTTGACTTTAATTTTTAAACACGACACGGCGCGCCACTATAGAATATTATCCATATACCTATATACAGATACACCCACCGAATTCCATTTATTTATTTATTTATTTATAAACTTACAATCTTCGGGTTGGCCGCTCTCGATCAGACTCGACCTATGCACAATATATAAGTTATGAATATGTCAGGGCCAGTCGAGTATAAAATCATTATTACCTCATATTTAATTATTTTTTGATATGATGATTTATACAACGAATATAAAAGGTACATAATAGTATGTACACTGTACGTCTGTACCCAATAGGTACCTCAGCACACTTTAAAATAGCCTGTGGGTTTATCGAACTTCAGGGTATGCACTTTAAAGTTGTACATAGGAGTGACTACAATAATTTATATGTATAAAACAGAACAATAATATTTTCTCAATTAGTCTACCTTTACTACTTTTAGCAATTTATTTTTTAAAACAAATAAAAATTTTAAATACCATCACGATATAGCATACTTCCGGTAAAATAGTATTTTATAATTATTATATAATTTTTGTTATTGAAGCGCTATGTATTATATAAACATGTACTTACAATGCATACACATTTATACAGAGCTTTTCTGTTATATTAGTTTAATTATTAAGTATCTAATTCTTTGAAATTTAATTCAAATGTATGGAATATGATTTCATATGTTTTTTTTGTATTTTATATATAAGTGTCAATAATGTAGTAAAACAGTGTGGGAGATAAAAAAACACATTTTTATAATTCCTATTAAGTATATTTTCATAATGATAATACATAATAATATAAATATTAATTAATTAACCAACATAATAATAATATTATGTACCTAACATTGACTGTAAAAAACAAAACTAAAAACACGCTTTGGCCATACATAAACGTAAAAATAATTTAATTAGGTAATTTAATATTTGTATGATTTTCACCAATCTAAAAAGGAAGTTTGTCAACAATGATTTTCCATTAGGACATTTTGTTTTACTTACTGTATTAACACAATACAAATGTTGATTTTTGTCCTTATAACATAATATTTGTTTACATATACATACGTACGCCTAAGTTACATAAATCATATTATTTATGTAAGGTATTTTTTAATAGTTAAATTATGTTTGATTCCTTTTATTAATTTTAAAAGTTTTATGATATTATTTTATATATATTTTATAGACTAATAATGTTTAATACCGATTTCACTTAACCATATGTTTAAATTTGTTTTCACTAAGCTATGACATACGATTAAAAATTGGACGGACGGCGAAAAAAGTTGCGCGTTAAACTGGTACAACTCGGGATATACAGGCATAATAGGATTGTACTTGTACACCCGTGCGTTCCGTACTTCACGCACAGACGCAGTTTTATTGTTTATATTCATAATTATAATGTGGTTATTTTGTTGCAGCCCGTCCAATTCACAACAACAAAAACAAATAATAAATTAAACAAAAACATTGAGCAGTGTTTTGTTGGTAAATAAAAAAAATTTACCGTGTGCTAAATATTAGCTTACTGGACTGAAACACGTTCGTTTTTCAGATAAACGAAACGTATAAATATAGATGAAACGAATAATATAATATTTTTTGGTCTGAATAAGTTGTAAGCATCGAGTGGCGAGAAGAGAAAGCTAAACAAAATTAATGAATTTTGGTCCTGTATAATATAGTATTATGTTTTCAACGATTTTTTTTTTAATCGTTCGAAAAGATTTGTTTTTATTTGTTATATTAAATATTAATTGGATTGTTTTGTCTTGATTGGTTTAACGGCCTAACCGCGCACATGTTAATTTTATTTTGTAAACGGAAACACATATTACTACAAAAAAGTATATCAGTACAATATTATATATTAATTATATTATTAATAATAATATATATATATATATAATATATATACTTGTAATAACGACTAGAGACTATAGTTGTTCATACGTCACAATCGACTAGATACAAATATAAATAGACTAAATTAATATTATTACTTTTTCATAAGTAATAATATGCACCAAAATAATGTTACACAGCACGTTTTAGAGCTCAAACAATGTTATTACACTAGACCTCTATGGGACTACGCGTAGTATTATTTTATTATGTAAACATTAACGAGGTATACTCAAATATCGTGTAACAATAGAAAAAAAATATTTGGCATAAAAAAAACACAATTTTTATACTAACAATATATAAGCAAAACATTCAACGTATGAGTATTATTAATACGATAGTTAAAAACTTAACGAAAATCCATAACAAAAGTTCGATACACTTACGCTAACGTATAATTATATTTATTATGTTATATACACATTATCGGTAGTAGATTGCCGAAACAAATATTATATAATATTATGTATAAATTTATCATTATCATTATTATTATAATTATAATTATTATTTATGTTAATCGTTACATTCTTGTTAAAATTGGAAGAAATTCATTACAATAATTGTTTTCACTCCGGAATTTCGATAATAATATTTTATCCTAACTATGTACCTAATCTATATAACATAGACCTATTTCCTATAGGGTGTATTATAATATGTGTGTGTATGTAATGGCCGGAAGTGAAAGACTTTCGTCTATTTGTTGACTTTTGGGTAGCAAAACTGTTTAGTGGATGGAGGTCATCGAGTTGAGCAGTTCAATTCAATATACACAGTTATTTGAATTGTCCACCCCTTGAGCTTGATTTGGCAAACGAATAGTTAGAGATTTTACAAGTGCGTTTTATTTAGATTAATATACAACGTTATTGTGCTGGAAACAAAAAACAAAAAACAAAACAAAAAACAATGTAATAATGATTTTAATCGTTTGCTAAACATCTTTTGGAAACGAAACGAATATGTCGTGTAGTGTTTTACGAACAGATTACCTACACACACAAGATAATAATCATGACAAGCTGTCGATGAAATCTCAATCGGATCATAACGATGATATACAAAAAAACTAAACTATACAATATTATAATATATGACTACGAAAGAATTAATGTCGTAATATGTTATCGAGACCGTTCGGGTATTTTGTAATATTATATATTTATATATTAGGTATAAATAAGCGCTGTTATTGTATGTAATAATATAATAACAAGAGGTCCAAAGCGGTTATAATATGACTTTTTATCTAAAAACAAAACCTAAAATTATAAATAGATAACAAAATATGTATTTGTCTAAACTCCAGCCTTTTGAAATTTCGAAAAATCGTTAATATAATATTATCATTAAATACATATTATTACGATAATACATAGGTATTTCATAATATTATGTTATACTTAAAACAAACTGTGAGGTAAAAAAAAAAAAAATCGCCACGACTAGTCTTTCAGCAACGAACATTTTGAAAAACGCAATCGTTCCCGTTTTGCCTCTCCGGAAAAAAAGTGGCAGCGAACGCAAAAGTCGGGAATTCTATTATATTAGTATTATTATTTTTGGCTTAATATGATTGAGCAATTGATTCCATTTTTGACCCTCACTCCCCAATGTATAGTAAAACACACACTGAAAACTAGCCGTGCGCGTGACGACGACGTTATTGCTTATATGTTGTTGTAATGTTATTGAATATTTCATAATGTATAAATAATTTTTTTCGTAGGTTTATTAGTAATATTAATAAATTATATTATAGGAAGTGAACCAACACTCAGCGTCGAAAGTTGGATGGGCGAGAGAGCGATTTTATATTTTTCACGATGCGCTCAGCTGCCCTCCTCGCGACGATCACCGAGTGCGCTAGATGGAGCTATAGAATAGGACGCTCCCCGAAACGACACGCTGATCGATATTTAGCAGAACACACCCTCTTGTAGTCTTGTACATGCATACGGGCCCGGGGGTAGTGTCGTCTATACTATATATTATAATAATATATTTATATATACACATATCATCATCATCATCATCATATAATATCATAATGTAAGAAAAAAGAGATTCAACTTTGCAAGTTTCACACACGCACACACTCAATTCGTTCTGATATTACCTACAAATTACAATATAACAAGTCACTGATTCTATCTGATTAATGTGTTATTATTGTTAGTGTACATTATGAGTACTATAAAAAGTGTCCCGCGAGGAATATAGCCATTAGACGTGAACCGGGTGTTTGCAGTTTTAACTACAAACTAAAAAAATGATTGAAAATCATGAAATTAATAAAAATAAAATGTTGAAAGGTCAACATTTTCAGGGAAATAAACTCTACAAAATAGATATCTTCAAAAATTAAAAAAAATTATTAAAAAATAATTTTTTTGAACTTTTTTAGCAAAACATATAATTAAATTAAAAAATAAAATACACGTGTCCTTGTTTCTGTGAGTCTAATAAAAAAAACCAGATTTATGATATATTTTTATCCCTGCAGGATATATCGCAATGGGTAAATTTTGGCGGGACACCCTGTTTAATATTTAGTATGTAATACTGAAGATGTACGACTGCTGATCGTATTAAAATTGTAGTAAAATGTTGATTCAGCCTGATCGAATTATATTATAATATTATAAGGAAACAAATTATATATTCGACTCGATGATGTTGAAAGACTTTGCAACTTATAATACTGTCATCTAGTAATATCATTCTCCTAACATAACGATACACATTAATATCACACTATGCGTGGGGTGGGCGCGATGAGTGGTGGGTGGGAATGAAGGCGGTGTCAAACTTTAACGAAAATTATTACTTCGCCAGGAGTCGCAGAGCTGCAGAGAGTGAAGTGTTGTTGTTACCGTAACGGTCGTCTCTTGCGGGGTGTGAAAGTCATCAGACCTCATCTGTGATTATCGGTGGTTTGTTTTAGTCAAAACGAACGACGAAATTATAAAAAAAACAAAACGAAACGAAATCTGCCGCCGTCTCAGGGGAAATCAATCTCCGATACGCGGCGAGCGTATTATTATTATAATAATACTATGTAATAGTTACGTAAATGTGACCGCGAACACGTGATTCGAGCACGAGTAACGAAATGACAAAAAATTCGTACAATACAATTATAATATAACATTATACATCATACAATTATATTATTACTATCTAGACACAGTTCGACGTTTATAGGATCGACACGACTAATTTTCGCGCACCAATATTATAATAATATATTATATAGTACAGGGGGGGTACCTATAATACTGCGGCGGTGAATGTTGAGCGATGAGGGGCGGTCACAGTGGCCATCGACCACCGCGACTGCTGCAGAAGTCGACGGGGAGTGTGGCCGGGACGAAACGGGCTCTACTACTACTGCTGCTGCTGCTGCTGTTGCTGCTGAGGATGAGGAGGAGGAGCAGGACTCTGGCGGTGCGCGCGGTGGTCATCCCGGTCTCGGCGGCGGCGGCGGCGGCGGCGGCTGTGGTGTTGGTGGTGGTGTTGGTTGCGGTGGCGGCGTCGGCGGCGGTGCTGCAGTGGACGTCACACGCTGTCCACGCTGGCGAACCGCTCGCCCAGTTCGTCGCACACGTGCTGGCCAGACGACGGCGTGGGGCTGAGCGACCGGAGCGATGGCGGCCGGGGCTCGTGATGGTGTTGATGGTGGTGTTGGTGGTGCCGCCGGTGCCGGTTGTATCCGCCACCCACGACGCCCGCGCCACCACCGACGCCTCGCCGGAACCGATCGCGGCGCCCGGAACCCGAACGGCGACGGCAGCAAAGGCACCCGGCCAGCATCAGCGCCAGCACTGTGCACATGGTCAGCACCGCCGACAGCACCACGTTGTCCATGGCCTCCGGTTCCATCGCACCTGCCAAACAGCACACGCACGCACACGATGTAGTAGTGGTAGTTAAGCGCCCCGGGCATAGGCCACGAGATACAAATGGATTGGTTAAATGTTACAGGTGCCATAAGGCATAAGGTATTGTGGCGATGGTGGAGATAGATGGGCACAAAAGGTGTGACGGTCGTAGAGGGGTGATATGGTTACAGTTGGGGAGGTGGCGGTCGTCGTATAGGCTGTTGCCAAGGAGTTGGGTGCACCCCTTGAACTTAAAAAAAGTAGGAATTTTACAATTTTAACAGGGCATTATAGGACATTATAATATAGGGTCCTTGTTTTTATACGTTGCATTATTTTTATTTCGCTTAGTAATTATTACAGTAAACAAAACTCGTTCTTCCGTTCTTCAAATAATAACCTATATAGTTAACGTCACCGTCGTAAATATTGTGGAATCCAGTATAATAGCAACTATACGGATACTGAGGTTGCCACTATCGACTATACTGATGATAGTCAACTTTTTTTCTTATAGATGGTCTATTGGTCTATAAAATGGTTGTATTTTAAAAAGGTTGTAATTATTATGAGTTTTATTACAGATACCATTTATTCATTATTTTTTCTTGACTGATAAGGAACAAGGTGGGTATCTTTTAAAAACCTTTGTACCTCCATGACAACATATTGTGGGTGCATTCTATTCATAAACAAGCTGTGAAAAGTCTCAATGTAGTTATCTCATTGCATTGTTAAAACTAAATGACATAAAATGCCCACACGAAAACAATACTACCTACCTACCTATGTATTTTTTAGTACATTTTATATGAAGTGTATGTAGGCACGAAAAGAAGATACTATCGTGTATACCTATAGTAGTAATAGATTTTATGGGGGATGCATTTTTAAAGAAAACCGTGAATGGGATTTAAATATTTTAATGAAATGAAAGAGCTGGTTTTACGACAGCTAATACCACATTTCCACATTCGCCACTTTGACCGCACTGGAATAATATCGATTTCATATTCGATGTACCTACGCTACCACGTCGTGGAAAATCCAACATCTATCAAGTGTAGTCGAGTCCTGTTTTATGGTTTTTCACCTCTCAAATAAAAGCAAAAACGCATTTTGTTATTTCAATTAGTCAATTCCCTCCTAGTTTAGTTTTAAAGTAATAAATATACTAATGACTAATGCGTATGAACGAAATCATAAAATAATTAGTCTGATATGACATTATGAAAACTTGTGATGGAGAATAAAAAAATTGTTCAATTGAATGTTTTTCTATGGGTACACGATTCTTATATATTATATGAGGGTAAATTCTGTCGAATATCGATTAATCCCACCCCCGTAACGTAATGTATATATATAATACGTTATTTTCGAAATAAAATATTTCCCCGTCGATCGATATAGTTTTAGCTGTTTTATTTCCATCACGTATGCTGTCATATAGATACGCGGTGGCGGCATCAATATTGTTTTATGATCACGCGCCCAACAACACACACGGCCGATTTCACCGGAACCTACGCTGAATATTATGAGAAGAGTATGTGTACAGGATGATTCGAAAAAACCCACCCCCTTCAATAATGCGGTTATTTCAAATTATATAACATTTTTTGATTTAAAGACCATATTTTTGAATTTTTGAGATTTCATTTACTAGGTACTTAAGGAGTGGACCCTGTGGAGATAGAAACTTCTATTTTTCAAAAGAAGAACCGCTTTACTACTATAATTATTATAATAGTGGATACTATTTTTCTGAAAACAATGAAGAATCAAAATCAATATTCGAACAAGTGGTTTTCGAGTAATTCAACTTCATGTTCTAAGGATAATAGGTCCATTATGATAATGGGCTTGGAATATATTGTGACCATGGTAGTTTTAAAATGTTAATAATTTATATTAATCTTGTCAATATTTATTATTTATAAAAACATAGTACAAGTATAATAAATACTAGATCCAATATTGTATCTATTTAAACCATTTTTAAGGACTATCAACTAATTTCAATATGGGAATAAGTATTTTAATAATTGAAAACTACTAGTTTTATTTTTGAATTAGGACATCAACAATTTAAAAAAAATATCCATTGAATAATATTGACATTATAAAAGGTGGGTTCTCATTAATTATAACACAGAACTTTGAATTGCCACAGGAAAATCCTCAAGTACCTAGTGGAAAAAATCTCAAAAATTTGAAAATGTAAGTAAATTTCAAAAATTGAATTTGTATAAATGCGTTATATTAAATGAAAAAATGGGGACGAGCATGATTAGTGAATCACCCTGTACACATAGGCAATTTGTATTCGGTTCATTACTACGGTTATTATCCAACAGGACTTTGACGTGAGCGTATTTATATATATATATATATATATGTATTATACGCGAAATATTATAGTCGAGACACTCGCGCGGTGGGTCTGTCGTAAAACCACACTTAAATGATTTATGATTTTTAGATAGTTCCGCCACCGCTGCCATAAAACCAGCACTAGTTTACAGCCGATACATAAAATATATATGTAATACGTTGTGTATATACTTGCAGTGTTATATTATATGATTATATACAGTAAGTATTTACACATCACGCTCGCATGAAAACGTGTAACGTTTTTGGTGAACGCGAAAAGAACAAATAAATGAGTTATCGAGTGAACACGAAATAAAATATTATCGTACGTCTTCGAGGCAAATCTCTATTTTCTCGAAAACATGAATGCGAACTTTCTGCTTTATATAATTCCATACATGTGTATTGTATACAATATAAACTACGTGTCCGACAACCTCCGACCTCACGTCACATCAAGTTCCGTCGGCCGTTTAAGATTAATATTTGCTTTTTGAAATTATAATGTTCAATGGTAAATTAATACATAAACACTCAATCATTCGGAACACGTCTTTATCATTTTTTAGTGCTCGTATTTAAAAACTAACAAACAGTCATTTTACTTCATCTATTTATTTATTTCATATTAATATTGCGTATATTAATGGTTAGGACATTATAATTGTTGTGTTATTATTTATAGGATAAGAAAATACTTATGTATTATTAAAACTAGGTATTTTGTTAACATAAAATTTTTATTTTTTAATTATTTTTAACATTATTTACATGAATGACATACATATATTATTTCTAATAATTTCAAATAGGTACTATTAAAATAAAAATCCAAATTTTAGATTTATGTCGAATAACTGATATAGTATAATATATTATAATAAACTTATGCAATAATATAAATATGTAAAGCTTGGCTTATTTTAACAGCCAATAAGGAGAACATTATCAAATATGGATCGACCACTGGAAGTATATCCCCCGAAACGTAGGCGGAAAATATCGTTAAATGTACATTAGGTTGCCTAATGATCTCGGCGATTTTCCCCTTAAATGGAAAAATCTAAACGACCATCAACAATATAATAATGTTATATTCATATGATTTTATCCGACTTGAGTAGATGCGAAACTATTACGCGGCCCTATTTTCCCCATTTTCGGTACACGTCATCGTCGTCAGGCGTCAATGCCATTACCATTACAAAGGATCTAGTAAATAATACTCACAGTTGATCTCGTCTGACACGTCGTTGGACCCGCAATTCATCACGTTGTTGCACCTCAACTGATTGGATATGCAGTAACTTGAGTTTTCGCATTGAAACCCCGGACACGAGTCGGAATTATCCAATACTTCGGTCCAAGTCGCGGCGAAACCAGTGCCGTTACCTGATTTGTCAGCCACGACAAAACTGTAACGACAAGCATAATATTATTACCAATCTATTTTCATCGATCAGACGCGCCGCCGGATGTTATTTTGTATGTGTATTCTACTATGCTATATATATATATTCTGATGGATCGGTAGGTGGTACGCGTAATTTTGTAGTTTTCGATTCTCTGAGCGAAGTTTTACGATGATGTATTTTTTTTAAATTTGTTTTGTGTCCGTGATCTTTTTTCGGGTAGAAACTCCTTCCGGACTCGATCAGGTCGTGCTCACCCAGTTTCCGGTGCGAAATTAATGGTAGATTGTGCTTTATATAGTACCTACACTAAAAAGGTCATTTATTTGATTTCCTCAAGTTTTCGTAAAATGCGTAAGAAAAAAAGTTCTAATTTACGAAACACCAGTTTTTCCTTAAATCGATATTTGGTTTTTCTGTTTTAATTTTACTAGTATAAAATGCTAGATACTTGAAACCCTCGGTAATGTAATAAATTAAAAATCTATATAAAAATGGAATTAAATTATTTCATAAAATATTACATTTCTAATCAAGTTTCGCTCGCGATTATTTTTTTGATTGTTAATGAAAGAAAATAATAACTGTTTTTTTCGTTATTTTACCTTATCCTGAACTGATTGGATTCGGATAGAAATTGCCACGACTCAATGGGCTTTTCACCACACAACTCCAACGGCGGTTCTTCTACAGATGGCCAAAGTCTGACGACTGCCGTCGCACAGCCTCTGGCTGCAGAAATGGTGAATTAAAAGATACATATTAATAAATTTCGTTCATTGTGTAATAATACTTTATAGAATCTACAAGGTGAAATTGTAATGAACGTCTAAAACACGTTCTAGAAGAATGTTTTGTACTTACTTGCCGGCTCTCCTTCCACCGAGAACGAGACAAAGTTGAGCAGTATTTTGTAATTGGGCCTGACGTTTATAAACCAATTGCACGTTCTGCTCGGCATTCCTTTCTCCGGTGCAGTATATTTGAGCGGGAAATTCGGACTCTGCACCTTTCCAGAATCTGCATTACTGATATTACTACCGCAGTCTTGAAACAATACCAAAAAAAATTTAATATGATTATTTTATAGGTATTTAAATATGTTTTATTGTCCCAAGCTGTTCTGAGGTATGCAAAAATATTAGTGAACCACACGACTTACCACCGAATATCGGCTTGGCGTCGTCGAAAAAATATCTGGCCTTAAAGCCACTTGAGACACCTTCCGAGTTCGTGTGCAGTAACACTTTCAGACCGATTGCACCCCGGTTCGATTCCAACGGTCCAGGGGCTGTCATACCGCAATATCTACCTACAATTTTCTCTGTACCATCTTTGTAAATGTTATATATTTCGAGCCAGTCCTCCTTACAAACAAACACCCTAAACAATAATATTAAATAAATAACAAAAAAAGATACAAAACTTGCATTTAAATCTTAGCAATAATAATTAATATTATTAATATGCCACGCAAGTATAGTAAACATATATTTTATTTCCATGTACTACACATACGCGTGACACGCGTGGTAATAAATAATATCGTTATTTCCGTACCCAAATTGGACTAATGAAATGTTAGCTACGTCAACTTTGATTTTGAACTGATCGAATATCACGGTGACCTGTTCGTTGGGCGTAGCCAAGAATAGAAACGTACAGTTCAGCCCGTTGGGATAGTTGGCCGGATGTCTGGGTGAGTTAAAATCTCCTCGTTTCTTAGACTCGCTACGGTAAGTAAAATGGCACGTACCGTTCGGTGCAGCCGTTCCGGGTATAAGATATTCTAACGAAAAGCAGAGAATAAAATATAACACTTAAAAAAATATATATTTCTACCAAGCGCTTACCGGTTTCAAACGTATATTTGGCTTTAAATCCTCGACCGTGTAGTTCGCCACTACTGAAAACCATTGCTAGTCTAGCACCTTCACTCGTCACTACTTTTTCGTCAGCTTCATCACCACACATTTCGTAGTCAAACTTGTCATAGAGGTCCATGGCTTCTTGACCTCTTAAGTATAGTTTTAGGTAACCGTCCGTGCATCTTAAATTTAAATAATAATAATTAAAAATTGTTCGATCCTTTTAAAATGTGGTAGTAAACTCTTACTCCTGTTCGTTGAGATGTGCTTTGGGTATGTTGAATTTTTGGAATTCTAGCTTAACTCTTTCCAAATCCTGTGCACCTTCGAGACCGTACACAAAATACCGGCACACGATTTTTGGGATGTACGGAAACGGGTAGTTAGGACTATATATGTAACCTGTCGAAGTTCGTTTACTTAACACTTTTTGATCGCATTCAGTGCCTCGAACGTGTTCTCCGTCGTTTATCCCAATAAAATCTAGACAAATACAAGAAAATTAAACTCATTTAATAATGAAAATAAGATTTTATTATAGGGATATAGCGGTATGTGACTTATGTGAGACAGACTTACCAAGTTTGACAAAACTTTCGCTAAATTCAAACATGCCTTTGAAACCGCGGTTCTGTGTATTTGCGGCCCTATGAAGTGTGTCGAAAGTTACATATAAATAATTTTTAGTAGAGTAGACCACTAAATTTCGTTGTTGACCGCAGTACTGGCCGATCAAAGGGCTTGTAGCATTTGATCCGTCATAAATGCTTACGATGTCAAAAGGACAGCTGCGGAGCAACAAAAACCATTGTATCGTGAATTTCGTAAATTTATGGTACGCGTACATAATATGTATAATGTATATATATATTATATTGGACTAAAAAATACTTACTGCGGGCCTCCGTAAAATAAGTCAAAGTCTCGGAATTCTAACCGCACCCTCTGGTTGGCTTGTCCGTGAAATAAGTATGTACATTTCATTCCTTTGGGATATATACCCGGGTACGTCGGCGTGAGTATGGTGCCTATTTTTTTCACATTAGAGTTCACGACAAACGAACATGGGCTGATCGGCGACGGCGTTCCCAGTTGGAATGCGGCTATAAACACACACCCACGTCGTATACGTATGACCATATTATATAGACAATCGAGACCAAAGCTCGGGCTGCGTTCTAATCTATTACAGATGTGCAGTGGTGTCGTGAATGGCTATTTCATAAAGCGACCGCTTCATGGAAAAATGGGGCTGGGTATCTTAATGGCATAGACTCGTTTATAATTTACGATTAATTTATGTACTTTTACCTATTGGGTTTGATGGTGTAGGCGTAAGCCATTCTCATTAATACGTGAACTGCAATTAGTGGGTGGGTATTTATTTTAAATAGTCGCTTCATAGAAAAAAAAAGTTCACTCTATCACTGCAGATGTATAATACAACCTATAGACTATTCGATAAATACTTACAGTCGTTGCTGAACGAATAATAGCCCTCGAACAACGATGACGTGGTTGTATTCTTGTCCGTGTAGAAGCTAAACGCTACAGTTCTGTACAACGACGTCCGGTCCCTCGGTGGTATTAAGCCACAGTATCTACCTCCAAACGGTGAATTTATCAAATCCTCCGTATCGACTTGTTGAACCTCCGAGTACACGTCCACGTATTCGTGCACGCATCTGTGGACGATAATGCACTTATAATTTCATAATATATAGTATCGTTTAATAGCACACGTAGGCATGCCGACCCAAGTTAATTGATTAGTATGACGTGTACTTTCCGTACAATAATATTATACATCGTAAGGTTTCGACGTGTAACTGTACGGACTCGTATGCATCGTCATAGGGTAATGCGTCACATGTGTATAGCAACAATTCATAATAATAATATAATATAAAAACTTAGATGTCCTTAATTTTAAAACAATTATTATATAATCGACGTATTGGTTGTTGTTATTATTATTGAAGGCAGGCGGGATACCGAATAGGGTTAGAGTATTTACATTATATTTTGATAAAAAACATATCGTGGGCCTGTTTAAAGAGCAAAAGGAGCATCTTACTCTGGAGGTGTGCTTCGGAGCTTGAACGCGGTAAACGACACGAAGACCTTCTGGTGCGAGGCGGCCACGAACGTGAACACGCACACTTTGGACTCGCCGTAGATGTTGGTGAATTCTGGAGCCCGGAACGTGCCATTCTGCGGACCGTCGTTGCTCACAAACGTCTTGTCACATCCTATAAACATGCGAGGAACCATCGTATAAACGAAATTATAATATGTATTATTATAATGTTGTGTGTCCGAGGGTATTTTAGTTTATAGGTTAGGTTAGGTTATGAATTATTTTAATAATGAAGCTGAGAACGGCACTTACCGGACGAAGACAGCGTTCTCTGAGCACTGGCGCATACCGATAACAACAACAGCAACAACAACGACGACAAGGGCACCATAAATCTGCTACCGGCATGCCAATAGTCTTCGGCCATGTTATGTCCTTGAAAAAAAAAATACAACCAAATCCCGTGATCGAGGTTTGCGAAATAATAATAATAAAAAAAGAAACACTTGGCCAACACAAAATTACTTACCATAGCGGCAAGGCAGTATGGTTTCAATCGCAATGTCAAATCGTCATCCGGAAAATTACATCTAACGAGCTAATCTAAACACACAACAAAACGATATGTTGTTAGGAAAATACCAAATTGATATCTTTAGCACACAATCACATTCTGTGTCGCAGCCAGTTATGTATTATAGTTTGTATATAACATATTATAGAAACACCTTCCCCTTCAATCGTATTTAAGCAAAAATATAATTGTTATATGAAGCAGATTTCTGCAAAATATGACGTCGCATGGTTCGATTTCATACTTGATAAGTGTTATATTGATATTACGATTGATCACCGCAATAAAATGTATATGATGCCTCTCACAAGTTATATCTATTTAAATATAAATATAAAACTACCCTGCAAAAAAAAAATTCTGACTGCTTACGAGTTGCGACTAACCCACTCTAGAACATATCAAAATCAACGATCGCGACGGTTTAAAAACATATAATAAAACAAAATGTAACAATATTACACCCAATCTAGCCCAAGCTACATTGTATAAATACTAAATAGCATGTATTATAGAATTATAATTGTGGAATCAATATCGCACTGCAGATGATCCAGTGGAAGTTGACGATGTTTTGTATGGATTGGGTGTGTTATCAACATAGCGGCTTTAATTGTCGGGGGGCAAAAATTAATCACTATTTACCGACCCATTTAATATGATAAGTTTGTCCTCTCAATATTTTTTTCTGGGGGGAAACTGCCACCTAGTGACCCCCCCCCCCAAAAAAAAAATTCCACTTATGATTGTCGTGGGCATGTAGGATTTTGATTGTGTGATACCGAGGGGGGGGGGCATATACTTAAGTATGTAATTATATGTAGATATAAATGATATCGTACAATAATAATAAATAATTATGACCGAAATGTTACACTTAACAAAGTCACGGGATGAGACGAATAAAATCACGAACGCATATTATAACTTGGGTGAACGATTTGCTAAAATGCAAAGATGATATGCGTGGGTGTGTGTGTATGTCTGTTGACAAGTTATATGGACGATGGGTAACAGGGTTAGATCACTTCACCACGCCACTGCAGTTTCAGTCGATAATTGATATGATTAATTAATGCAATGCAAATACGTATAATATACTTACGCGTGTCCCGGTGATCGATAGAACTCGAGCAGCACGCGCCCCGTTCGAAGTGCGTGCCGCGGTATGCGTGCAGGTGAACGGCTTGGTCCGGTCCGGTAAACTGCGGTATGCGGTATGTGTGTGCGTATACGACAACGACGACACTGCAGCAGCACGCGCCCCGTCGTTCGGTTTAGCACTCGATGGCCGTGTCGTATGGTGTAGGGTATATACGACGGCGGTTGTTGAGCAATTTATCGGTTAGCGGGCGGACATTGGCGAAGGATGAAGGGGGGACGGGGGGACGGGGGGCTCGAGACAAAAAAGGAAAAACCCGAAAAACCCGAGAGTAAAAACAACGCGAAAAATAACTAGGTCAATTCCGGCGGTGATGCGTCTTGGACGTGGCAGTCGTGTTTGTCGTAGCGTCGATCGTTGTCGGCCGAAAAACCGCTTCGTACGTGTATAAGAGCAATACGATTTAATAATACGCCTACGCTACAATAGCACAAAAGCACTGCAGCGCGCGCGACGATTGTTGTTGTTGTTGCGTTGCGCGTCGTACGCGGGTCTGGCGCGAGGTAAGCAGCGGCGGCAGCGGCGGCGGCGGCGGCGGCGGTCTTCGGTCATGATCCGCGGGCGAGTGGTGGTAACGATCGGGCGCGCGCGCGCAGGGACCGGCAGCTCCGAGCGGACGCGCGCTCGAAGGATCCTGCGGCGGCGGCGTATACGCGCACTGGCCAAATAATAATAATAAACGTTATTTTACAGGGGTGGCGGCAAGACGACCGATGCACCGCTATACCAATATAATTTAATACATTTTGTGTAAATTACTATTATATCAAATTGCAGTTTTGCAGAATATCTACCTATGATTTTTTGTTGGTTTTCCAGACTTCAATTTTCGGCCGAAGAGGTTTTCGGACTTTTGAAAAAAATTAAATTATGAAAACCGTTTTAGATTTGAGCCCAGTGGTGGCGGCGAGAACTATTAATTTTAATTACTCATAATATATTATTAAACATCACGCGTACGACGAAGCGCGATTTTTTTTTTTTCATTATCATCCGCACACCGCCACACCCCGCCAGTCACCCTCGCCGTAGCCAATATGCGTGAGGGTGACTCTGGTTGTAAGACGTATATCGTATAATATGTAATATGTATACCTCAAACATACTGCGTATCGTATAATGTATAGTTTTGAGAAGTCGCCTGAATCGAATTGCCGGACGATGGGTGTTCAATAATAGTACTAGAGTTCAAAACAACAAACAATAACTCTGTAATCACTTAATCAGGGATTGTAATCGATTTTAAACATCGATAAAAAAAATTAGGAAATGTTCTGTGAAATATAACCCAAACTGTTTTAATGACATTCAAAATGTTTATTCAAATCGAAAAATATTTATATTAATAAGTTATATCAAAATAATAATCTTAGATATAATATATGGGTTGATCTATTTAACTTACCACACTCATTATTTCGGGAAACACTAACATTTTGGTCTTTGGAATAGGTTATTACTTTTACATAATCTTAAGTCAATACAAAACAATATTAAAAAAAAAAATTATATTCCTCATCAGTCATCATTGTCATTTTTAAGTAATTAACTCTATTAAATGACAACATATACATTTTTTATTTTATATTCAGAAGTAGAATATTATTTTGAGTATTTCGATTCATACAAAAATCAAATTTAGGATAACTAGTTTATTGTTAGTTACAATTATTTGTGTAAAAAAATGTTTAGTACATTATTCCTTATAACTACTAACTAATATAACTAATAGAAATCAAAATTTTAATGTAAAAGTGATATTTTAAATCGGAAAAAAATATGTATAAAATCTAATTATTAAATAATAATTAAAATTAAAATCGAAAAATTTCATTTTTATATCAACTTGCTTGTAAATTGTAATATACGTATCACAATATAACATGACGTCTTAGATTTAGAACTAAACATGTTTAATATATGCAATAAACGATGAACATGAGGGCTTATTATTAATTTTATATATATAATATATACATCACACAGTTGCTTACTTAGCTGCTCAGTGATGTACTACGCCGCGGCCGCGGTGACGTTGCAAATCAATATCTCTTCATCCCGATAATATAAATATTATCCTTGTGCACTGTTTATCATATATTATACAATATAATCCAATAAGACCGTAAGTAGTTGAATTGTGTCGGTTAGGTATTCGTGCCTAATATTGTAATAAATAAATAACGGGAATCGCTCGGTCTGCACTGTGCACCTTCCATTTTCGAGAATATCGAACGCGGGTGTTCTGCAGTATTCTTCTGCAGCTGCTTTTGCCAGACGCCGATTCTGGTTACACATTTATTCCCTTTTAATTATTATAAAGATAATTTTGAAATCTCAAACTAGTCACCCTACCTACCGTCGCCTACCGAATCATCTGAATTATCTACCGAAATTGTTTACAACAATTATAGTACATTTGAAATTTTAAAAAATACGTAAATTTGCATCATCGAGACAAATTTTATCGCGTATCGTTCAGTAGGTATGACTGTATGGGATGTATGCGAGTTATTCACAATTAATAATTGTTTAGACGTTGTATTGTAGGAAAATCGAATTTTCGTATTATAAAACGTTATTAAGAAAATAACAATAACATTATGCGAGTATCGGTGTCTAGGGAGTAACGAGCGAGACAATTTTTCCCAAGAGACCAGATAACGTTTTGTCTATATTTTATATGTATGTGTTGGTTGGCACAAAAGCGACACATAAATTATTATGTACATAGATTGAGAGGGGTTCTCGAGTTCGAGGTAAGCATAATAGTCAATAGATTTACATAATAATATCTGTGGAGTCGGACTCCACAGTTAAGACACTGGTATTCAACTTGGGCGAATATCGAGTAGTCGACAGTCGTAGAGGAAAAAATGTTAGTATTATCAATACTGCCGTCTGCCATACACATAATGTTTAATTATGACTTGAGTATTTCTCTGTTTTGAGTTGGACACAATAATTATACTGAGTATTGACAACGTGGTGTGGCACAGAGTATGCGCGGAACCAAGTTGCAGAAAACACACCAGTGTTTTTAGCTGTGTCACTATTATAATGACATGATGTCATTTTATTGTAACTACGTAAGTACGCGAACACATGCTGTCCGGTTTCAGCCACAGTGGGAGAAATCATCCGGTTTTCGGGCTCGATGAAAATACATCGTTTTAGATAAGACCGACCCCCCACCATCCTAAAATAACCAATGCGGCCGTTTGACTTAAAAATAAACAGCGACACGTTGCAACTTGCTGTTGGCTGTGTCCGGATTTTATCAAAACACTTGGCATTTGTTATTAGTTGATCACCCTGATTTACACAACAGGGCGAGTCGCGAGTCATATCACTATTCATTACACGCCTGTTATTGTCTTAAATTCTGTTATTATAAATATATATCGCGTAGCTTAACTTTTTTAGATTTGAATACATTTAAAAAATGTTTGACGTGTATAAGTTAACTGAATGGGTCCAAAATAGAAATCATAATGCCATACGGAAGACAAGTGCAAGCAATATATGAACTGGAATATACAAAGTGACGGTTAGTTAAGATTTTGTCTATGAAAACTTGGTCGAGTTATAGAGCATCCAAAAAATAATCGAGGTAAGGTTTCGTCATTATTGTGACCAGTTCAACCCTTCCGCCTTTTTGTATTTTTTCAGTATACGTAATTACTTAAAAATATGACTCACCTCACATTTTTGTTTTTTAAATCAGAGGCACCAAAATCATAATATTCAATCACCATACAATTAGTCGGATTAAAATTAATTTCAATTTCATAACGATTAAAAATTATAGGCATTTGTCAAATGATTTTACTTTTTAAATTTATTATTATATAGGTTATCAGATTGTAAAAACTAAAAATAGTTTTAGTATTAATATTGAGACTTGTATCTACTACCTACATTACTGCACGACTGCGCAGACTGTAGTACTGTACTACTATGAAATCAGAAATATGAATAACGATAGTATGTCGATATTATAGTATTGTACTATAAATAGCTGAAATACCCGTGTGCAGTTTTGTTTTTTCATATTTTTCTATTTATAATATATCTCTATAACTTCTTGGAACAATTCTTATCTACACAACGGACAAAAAGGATAGGTTGCAGGTAGCTGGAAACCCGCGGGCCGCCATGAGCCCGTGCCGTGCAGCACAATACGTATTGACGATGAATAACTATAATATTGTTAATTGCTCCACTAGAACATAAAATTTTTGAAAATTCTTTCCTATTGCTCAGTGAAAATATGAGAAGAACCTCTATTCAAAATTTCAAGTTCGTACGTTGCGTAGTTATTGAGTTACAGCGATCAGTGACTAAGTGGTATTTGGATTTTATATGTATAGATAATTATAATATTATATTACATCTACATGGTTAGACTACATAGCCTTTAATTTGTAGACTGCAGTATTGTATTATTAATAGTTATTACCATACCGAAAAGAAGAGTAATTTTTTAGTTGGAAATTAAGGAACACTAATCCTATGTGTTAAAACTTGAATGTTAAAGTAATGTCTGGAGGGGGGTTAAAAAATGTTACACTACACACGCGAGGTGCAAACTTAAAAAGAAGAATGTTAACATGTTATCCATATGATAACTCCATATTATAATAAAATATTGAATTTTTTTGTATGTAAAAAAAAAACCGTAGGTATATACAATTTTAACCGAATGTTTATATTTACTTTAATTTATCGGTCGATCAAAAACCTTGAAATTTGAATAGAAGGTTCCTCATAAGTTGTTGTTGGTGGAAATTTAAAAACAAGTTATATTATTATACTACACAATATATTTTTGATGAGTGTCTGAAGTTGGAATTTTGATTAAAAAAATTTTAATTTGGGTAAAGTGCCTATCCATTGTGATCTATGGGTGTTGTAAAAGTATATAATAAATTATTAATATTTTTATCTTCGCATGAGCAATTCAAAAAATATAAATAATATATTATTATAGGTAGTTTAATAAAGTTATATACGAACTAAATACCATTTATTAGTAATAATTTTCGAGCAAAGAGGAAATAACATTTTTTGAGTCGGCAAATTGATAGGTTACACACCCTTCCCTCATAATAAAGTTTAGTTTAGGGAGGCACTGTGAAATCCCATTCCCCCTGATAATATTATGTATTTATTTATATAATGAATAAATTACAGTTTTCTACGTCTTAAAATCCATACATTTAAAATATAAATAAAATTGTAAAAATTGTTATCAAATCTTAACTTAGTAAAGTATACTGTTTATCTATAGGCGTGTGTTCGCAGAGGCAACAAAAGCAAACGATTTTCTCACTCTTTAGTGTTTACTGGTAACACCTCATATGACATTACAAAGTTTGTTCATTGCCAAAACGAAAGTGTGTTATCAAGGGAATCAAAAATAATAACATTTTACGTAACCGTTAAAAAATACTTTTTGTAGTAGGAGCAAAGCGAACAAACAAACTAGTAAACAGTAAGCGGTTTTGA